CTTAATAATAGAGAAAATAATTTGTTTCAAGTTTTAGTTTCATCCTTTTTGTTCATCACTCGCCCAAATTCATTCGAGTTTGGGGAAACTCGTGAAGTCATTGGTGGTGGAATAGCTAGTTTCAGCTCGTTCGTCCCGAATTCTCTGCCCGAAAAAGGGTAATCCCTCTTCCTTTTAACTTTTCTTTGTTTCTTATTATGTGACTGGTTGTTCTCTTTAGTTTCTTCTGTGTATTTGAATCTTTCGCTTTTGATATTGAGTCATTCTTTAGACTCGGTTTCAGTCAGTAAATGTTAGTTTCTTCTTGCTCTTTAGGTTTCAAATATATTTATAGGTATTAAGTATTCTTGTTCCTAAGGCTGAAGCATATGCTATTCTTGTGTGTTAATATGAATTTGTTAGATTTGTCACTCTGTTAGTTTATTTGGAAAAACATATTTATATAGTATGGTCTGTAATGGATATTTGAATGGTATAACAATAAATTATTTGTTGATATGTGATTACTATAGTTCGGCTTGATAATAAATAGGCTAGAAATCATGACAAACAAATTTGCTTTGGTCTTGATAAGATAACTTTTTTTTAAATGCTAATATCTAGTTCATTTGTTCTATTTAGTTTTGCTCTTTTGTCATATATGAGAAATCTGATGTGAGATGTTCGGTAAGGAACTACAAACATCTAAAAAGGGTTAATGTCTTACTTAAATGTATCCTTATTTTTATATTTGTTGCTATCATTGTTTTGACTTCACCATGTTTACATGCTTTACTTATTTGGTGATTTCTTGTTAGTAATGTTAAGGTTATCTCATTTGAATTGCCTTATTCATGTTTCATAGTTGCATTCTCTAGATTGACATAGTAGAGTGCTCCTAAATTTGGTACTTCAAATGTCATTATGTGTTCCCTTAATCACATTTAAATCAACAAGACTTATGTTTTATCTTATTGTTTCTTTTGCATGAACTTGGACCGAGTCCTACGGACTCTCCATCCCTCGCATATCATTAAGTGGCATCTGGAGTCGGCATTCATCATTTTTTCTGATTTCGAAAGCTGAAAGAATTGAAGAGGAGCTGCATTGTAAGTTCTGAAGGTTGAAAACAGGCTGGAATACGGTCCTTATACTTGGGTATATATGATTTAGTGTAATAAATACGTGATTAAAATTGGCAATACAGGTTTCAGGAGTCAATATTGAATGTACACATTTGTTATACAATTCAATATACAGAAAAATGGGCTAATATACCGTCCATATGCAGCAACATACTTTCTATGTATACGCAGATTTTTCTAAAAGAAATAGGTCCAAAAGCCTTAAACAATTTCAGCAGGTCCAAAGGGCTAATGGGTTGAAACCCGTGATTGTTGGCAAAGTTGTAGGCTTAGGACAGGTGGGTCAGAAAGCCAATTTAATTGGGTTTGAGCCAAAAGTCCAAATCTGATTGTTTCTTCCCCCTCTATTATTATTTATTGGGCAACTTTCACATATAGCAAACAAAAAAAACATATTTGTATGCTATAGTAAACTTTATATAATTGCGCTCCATAGCAAACATAAAACCATATAATTTGTTATACATAGACAATTGTATTCGTTGGCTTAAATTGTATAATTCGCTGGCCTAAATTGTATAATTCGCTTGCCTATTTCGCTGCAATTGTATAATTTGTTTTGCATACAGTTGAATCGAATTAAAATGTATGTATATTGCATAATTATAAGTGTATAGCAAGAAGATATATGTTTTTCTCGCTTTATACAAAAACAGAAACACAATATATACACTTTTGTTGTATAAAGCTAGAGAAAATTGTATTTCACTGCAATTGTATAATGCAATTGTATAATTTGTTGGCCTTTTTTTCTTCAATATTTGAAGTAAAATATTTGTAAATTGTATAATTAAGTGTATAACACGAAGATATACATTTTTGCATGTGTATATACAATTTTCTCTCGCTTTATACAAAACTAGAAACAGAATTATACACTTCTGTGTATAAAGTGAAAGAGGCGAGCGAGAATGGAGAGTGGCGAGCGAGATTTTTTGGAGAGAGACGCTGACAAATTTTAGCTAATGTTTGCTATGGAGCACAATTAAATCAAACCCTACCTATTCCATTTAATTTAGGTTATTAGTTTGCTATTATATACAATTTTCCCTTATTTATATTGTATTGTTTGACTAACTTTGTTTATTCTATGGTTTAATTTAACTAAATTCTCAAAGATAGTGATCTCACCCTTTTTTATAAATATGCAAATTAAAATAATTTTTTTTACTTAGCTTTATTTTATTTACTAGTCTTGTCACCTGAGTTATTTCCCTTAAGAAATTTCCGCTACTTCATTTTCCCTTAAGATAAAATAATAATAAGATTGAGTAAAATAAGTAAATAAATAAATAAAATGAATTTTCTTTTCTTTAGTTTAAAATTTTAAAAGTTGTTTGAAAGTCATTTTAGTCAATCGCCGGTCAACCGCAAGTTAGCGGGCATTCTGAGGGCCTAACACCTTCTTGGAATGTATATTGAACTTCGAACCCTTATAATTTCAAATTGATTTTATCTTTTTAAATCCTTTTGAAAATTTAAAATGTTTTCTTGATTTTTACTAAAAAATTAAGTGGTCACTCACTTTGTTAATTTGGAAAATTGATTTATCTTACACCACAAGATTAATTGATTTTCAAAACTTAGTCACATTTATTTTTTATTATATTTTTTCGAGTAAAACACTCACCATCGAGATATAAGGAAGGAAATGGCAGGCAGTGTTCCTCACAGAAGCCTAGGATAGTGAAGTATTGCTCTGCCCTATAAACCCAGTCCACTGGATTACCGTCGCCACTGAATCGATCTAGTACCATCACTACCATTAGAGTACGTCAATGAAAGCACCAATGTGACAACTCAAATTACCACATAACGAGCATATCTATTATAATCGATGACAATACAAATAAAATTGAGAAATGGAAACAACAAACAAGTAGCCACTAGTGATCCTTAAAACGGAACTCAGAATGTAATCAAAGGGGAAGAACATCAGAAATTAAAGAGATGGATAGAAGGTGACGAAAAGCGTAGACTAAGAATGGAGATGAGAGGAATCAGACTCTTTTCTTAACAATTCGCATAATTCCCAAATCACATACCACTATTCTTTTTAATGGAACCGTCCCACGCCCACTTCTCAACTCGTGTTCAAAATTAATCTGAACATATTACTTGTTATCGATCATATAGCTCTTGTCAGCGCAATAACTAGTTTTGTGACCCTGATATCCGCATTGGGCTGGACTTGATTCATAACATTGAATGTGATTCGTTCTAATACATAATTGACATCGAGTCAAGTGTATGCATGTTATGATGAGGGTGCCATAAGTTAGACGACTTGTCTTTGGGACAAAAGTTTAGAGGACTAAAAATGTAATTTTGTGAGTTGTGAAACTGATTTTTTAAATTTTCTCTAGTATTTTTTTTTTTTGGGTAGGCATGAACTTCGTATAGCATAATGTTTTCAAATTGAACTTTTGTCTTGGTGTCTTGGAATTTTTTGCCTTGCAAAGTCATAACTTATGAATTACAAATTTCTTTAAGAAATAATGTTCTGACATAACTTGTGCCTTGTGTTTTATTTTATTTTTTTATTAATGTACTGGGTATCTATGCCCATCTTTTTATTAATTGAAGTGATGAAGAACATCAATTAGAGTGGCAAAAACAAAAAGGGCAACTTTCACATATAGCAAACAAAAAAATTATATTTATATAATATAACAAACTTTGCATAATTGCGCTCCATAGCAAACATAAAAACTGTATAATTCGCTATACATATAAAAGTGTATAATTCGCTGGCCTAAATTATATAATTCGCCGACCTAAATTGTATAATTCGCTGGCCTATTTCGCTGCAATTGTATAATTAGCTTTGCATACAGTTGAATCGAATTAAAATGTATGTATATTGCATAATTATAAA